ATGTTTACCAGGGGGTAAGAGGCAGGGAATACCTAGGTTTGGGAAAGAGCCACCAATCCTCATCAGTTCCCTTGTTTTTTTGTCTGGGATATTCTCCCCAGAAGTTATTTTAAAAACAAAAAAAATTTAAAAAAAAAATAAAAACAAAAAAAATTTGAATACCCTTCACCCTTCCTTACAAAATTCTGTTTAAATTTTAAAAATACCGAATATGAGCGTTTTATTGGGGTTTATACGACGTGGACCTACAAAGGTCATAAGCCATTACCATATTCAAATTCGATAACGTAAAATACACGGTGAATAATGTAGCTAAAAATCATCAAAATATCGTACATAGGGAGGTACTGTTATATCGGAGCTGTGTGAAGACCAGCCTTACAATTTTCTGTCAGAGGCTGTAGCATCCATTACGAAGTTTAAATACGACATATCTGACAATATCGGTGGGTATTGTACCTAAACTCGTCAAAATACCGAATATAGGGAGGTACTGATATATGGGGCCTATACGAAGACCTGGACCTGCACAGACAATTTTCTGTCATAGGCTGTAGTATCCATTACGAACTTCAAATACATAATTTGAAACAATTTCGGTGAAAAATGTCGCTAAAATCATCAAAATATAGGGAGGTACATTTATATGGGGGCTATATGAAAATGTGGTTCTACATGGCTCATTTACGAACTTAACCTGCCTACTGAAAAAAAACATGTGTGCAAAATGTTAGCCTTCTATCTCAATTCGTTCGAAAGATAGCGTGATTACAACAGACAGACAGACAGACTTCTATGACAAAAAACATTTTTTATCCAAGTGACGAGATCGTAAGCTCAATAGAAGAGGAACCAAAGAATTATATAAAACTAAAATTCTTTTGGAAAATCTTCTAAATCTCAAATATTTTGAGCGTTCTGGGCTATAGCTCATATTAAGGTAATGATAAATTCTTAATTACAAAGTAACAAATGTTCAAAATTGTAAGATTTTCACTCTAAAAGTAGGAGAATTTGAAAAGGAGGAAGAATAGATTTTTATTTCAAAAGTCACAGTTTTAAGTACTTTTTATACCCTTAGCCATATGACCATATGATACGGCCAAAACGTGTCTGAAATAACGGTTTTAGACCCTAGGTCTCCTTGGACCAAATCCGTTTCAGCATGTCTAGGCAAGCCCGTACGTCTGGTGCACACGACAACTCTCGAAAAGAGTATCCGATTTGATCCAAACTTAATACATTGATCGATGTCGGGATGGAAAATATTAGTCTACTCCTTCTGGTAACTCCCAAACAAAAGGTCGAAATTTAAAAAAAAAATATTTTACTGCACAGAAAGAGAAAAAATGATCCGATTTTGCTCCAACTTTGCGAATCCTTTTCTTTAAATCAGTGCTTCTTAAATATGTGGAGAACGTAAGTAATCAGGCTATAGCTAGTGACTATATATTCCCTAGGCACAGCTTTGAATTACTCGACATCCGCATACCAAACAGGGATATCTGGTCCCGTTGCACTCCACCTTTTAACGGTATAGCTGTCTATACTGATGGTTCAAAGATGGAAAGTGGAACGGGGGCTGGAGTCTACTGTGAAAGTTTAAGTATCCAAAGATCTTTCAGGCTAAACAGCGATTGTAGCGTTTTTCAGGCAGAGATTTTTGCAGTCAGAATGGCCATAGAGCTGTTGGAAAACAGATTCAATGAACGGGATGGACCGGTGACTATATATGTCGATAGTCAAGCGGCCCTAAAAGCTCAAAATTCTTTTATAATCAAATCTATGGCTGTTCTGGAGTGCAAGTTTGCCCTGGAAAAGGTAAAGTCGTTTGTCAAGCTCTGTTGGGTTCCTGGACACTGCAACATATCTGTTTTACGTTGGTAGCTATCCTATTTTTTTTTTTTTTTTTTGGTTTTTTAGTGGAACCTCTAATATTGCTTCGTTTTTTAGCATTGCCCAATTCTCTGTAGATAAGTGTAAATATCAATAAACTATTAACAAAATACCAACTGAAAACAGAAAAAAAACCCAAGAGAATATCAATTTAAACCAAGAAATTCAACTGCGCATCATTCTAAGCGTAGTAGCAAATATCAGCTATTAAATGCAGATACGTACTATTTCATCCATCTATTGGTTGTCTTTTCGTTGGTGTCGTAAATTCAAGCGATTGATAAGAGAGAGAGACCAACTGACAAACGAACGAAATAAACATTCACTTTGGAAATCAATGTGGCAGAACTGATAGATGATACCACAACAACATGCCATGGCGATAATAGTAGCAACAAAAAAATGTATTAATGCTGATATCGATGATGATGGAGTTTGTTGTTGCAGATGCAGTTGCTGTCTGTGGCTGCTGTTAATGTTGGAGTGATGATGGTGTTGCAGCTTTTTTTTGTTGCTACTGCTTTGGATGACATTGATGTCGATGCTGGTTGATGCAGTTGTTGCCAGTTGGTGGATGACAATGCAGGAAAATCAATAATTTCGAGTTTTTTAATGGGTGTAGGAAGTATGAAAAATTGAGTGCAGATCGGACATTGATTATGGGAAGGGATGAAGTTATTTATGGTTGAAAGGTATTATATCTGTAGACAAACTATAGTAAGTTTTCTGGGTGTAGGAGTTGGGTGTAGACCTATATATGAAATTTTTGTCATACGTCATTAGGATATTCAAACATGAAACAATTCGTGTGAATAATGTCGCTATTATCATCAAAATACCTATATAGGGGGATATCGTTATATGGGGACTATATCGAAACTTAGACCTATATTGACAGTTCTATGAAAGGATGTTTCTGATTGATTTCTCAATGCCCAGGGGAAACGACTGAAGCTAGAATATTGAAATTTTGCATGTGGGTCAACGTAGGCGGGTGGGGTTGAAATTAAACTGGGCCTGAACGTATACAGCTAAAATCCTGACATTTGATATAAAAATTGAGTTTGAGAAGCAGGATTGAGCAGGTGTACTATAATGGTACTACATTTGGGTTTTGGTTAAATGAATAGATCTGGATATTTAAAATGTTGTCATTGGGGTCTCTGCTGGTGGATAGGGTTAAGATAAAGAGGTGGGCCAGATCTTGCTTTGGTAAAAATATTGGGATACGTGAAATTTTGAAGAGAATCGGATGTTTCTTTCGCATCCATCTTCATGTTCTGTTAATAGAAATATTTGGAAGTGCCGAGTTTCACGTGTTATGGGCTTCGTGGTTTTTCCAAATTTTGACTCGTTGGGACAGATCCCAAAAGGATCTATATATTCCGTGTTCATACCAGATCTTCTGTTGATAGAAATATTGGGATGTACCAACTTTAAAAACAATCGAACTCTTACCTTACATTTTACAGGAATTATTATTATTCAAAATTTTGACCCTTTGTGTGGGAGGTAGTTGATGGGTGGACCAATATTGTCCATTTTTGCACCTGACCTAGTGCCGATAAAAACATTAGGATCTGCAAAATTTTGCATAAAATGTCTATACAGAAATATTTGATGTGAAAATTTAGACGTTTTGTCTGAGAGGTACCAGAAGAAGTGGACCGATATTGCGCATCTCCGAATCCGATCAAAGTTTGAATTACAGATATTGATGCATAATTTAGCAATACAAACTCTTGTAGGAAGAGAAATCCGACAGGAAAATTGCTCAACTGACCGTTAGAATCACTTCCATAAAAAGTACACCTATAGCAGGCCTCCTCAGTAAACAAGACCTGTTCAAGATATCATATGAATTGAAGGTTCTTTTTTATATATAAAACTTGTATACAAGGTATTTTATGTATAGAAGATCCATAAAAGTTCTTCTACGAGCAGAAAACAAGGCTTTCTATTTATGGGAGGCCGATGAAAAGTCTTAAAAGTGTAGAGGGACTTTATAGCCTACACCACAAGGGTATTATGTCTTTGTGCATTTGTTTGTAACAGGCAAAAGTAAACGAGATATACCCATAGTTCCTTTTGATGATCTGCATAGATTAACATTATGTGTCGATTTATGTATGTGCGTCCGTCTGCCTGTACATGTATTTTTGTAAAAAAAAATGTATTGTCCGATCCAAATGAAATTTTGTACAAGTCACTTGTTTAAACCATGATGAACCCTATTGGAATTAGAGATAATAGGTCAACATTTAGATATAGCTCCCACATATATATCTTCTTCTTCCGATCCCAAATAGTATGGACATAAGTATGCAAAATTAGTTCAGATATAGCTATAGCTCTCATATATATTTTTGACCTCCGCAGCCGTCATATGCACTCTGTAACAACGGTATTTGGGGAAATATATCTAATACAGCAGAGAAATATCTTTCCCAAATTTTACCGAGATCGGTTCAGATTTGAATATAGCTCCCATATATATCTTCGTCCGATTTGTCTTTTTTGGTGCACCAAACGTGTAATATTAGCCCAAATGGGATGGAATTTGGCACTTACGACCAAATTGAGCCTAAAATCCTGTATGTCAAACTTGGTTAAAATCAGCTCAGATATAGCTATAACTCCCATATATATTGTTCAACCGATTTGTTATATTTTTATACTCTCCACCATAGTATATTCAGTTTGTCATTCCGTATCATAAAGTCGACCCCGTCCAATATTTAGACTTTGTTTGCTGGTTTTATTAGGCGACCTACAAAAAGTCTTCTATGTGTTGAAGACTTGTAGAAGTCCATGTATGGTTTAAATACCTATGGTATAAACACCTATTATATATATTGAAGACTATGAAATACCAATAGAAGGTTGCCTATGTATCAAAGTCCTTCTATTATGGTCTATACTTAAAATAAATATAATTAAAAAATAAATTTACACCAATATTGAAAATTTCCCCTCACTTATTACTGGGACCTCGTACAAACTTCATCTTATTTAATCAGTCAGCGATGAACTGTCTTAGCCCCCCAGTCGAAAGATTGGTTCAAGAGATTGATTTCAATTACGATTTGAAAATATAGAAGAAAAAAACGAAATCAGTTTTTATTTAACTCTCGTCCCGGTCGGATCGATCGCCTGCTTATTTGAAGATAAGAGACAATATTGGAAATAAAATATTGAATACGTAAACAAAAAAATGGCCTGCCCTTATGCAACAACATTTAATGGGTGCGTTTTCCGAAAAGAAAAAATTTAAATGTCAAAATAATGTTAAAAATAAACGATTGGGGGGGATCTGTGATACTCAAGTTAAAAAAAAGAAAAACAAATCGAAAGCTCAATGGGGTTAAGAGAAAATAGAAAAATTACTGAATGGACGTTTTATTGTAAAGATTTCAAAGTGTTTATAATAAACACTGCAACGTATATCCTGTTGAAAGCAACGTGATAAAAAATATATGTCTTAATTTGATATTGATTTTTATAACAAAAATTCGAAAATTCGGAACGAAATTAAAAAAAAGGAACAAAGGTTAAAATTTCATGACCCAATTATTCCTGATTATTTCACAATTTTGCGCAGCCCTAAAAATAAAATGTAGGCTCATATAGGCATATCGCTGTGTGGAATCTGACCCTCAATTTTGGAAAATAAACAAATTGAGAATAAAAAAAAAAATTACTTACATTGTTTGTGCGTTGGTCAGTTCTGAAATTAAAAAATAGAAAAAAAAATAAATAAAAAAGAAAAATCATAAAAAAAAATATTAATCACGGAATAGAGAAAGACCTAGAATTCTTTACAAATTAGGTATAAGTTCATTAATTATTTATGTAAATGCCCTATTGGCTAGCTAACTTAAGTTAGAGATGCCCTTTATGATAAAAGATGGGATTAAAAAATAGAACAAAAATCTGACTTGACAGATTGTAGAATAGTAAGTGGTTCCGCATCGGATAGTGGATGCTCTCTCGTTAGTCCAAGTGTTCTCTTGAAAGAAATTCAGTAGTGGGACAGTAACAATACAATAATGTTGCATGTGAAGATGGAACATATAGGCCGGCCCACCTGCCGCATAAAATGTTAGAGTTTTGATAAACAATTATTCGAATAAAATTGGAGATAAATGTCCAATTTTCTTTAAATTCACATTCCAGTATTTTTATCGATATTCGTATGCTTCGATATTTTCCAAAAATAGAACAGTGTTGGCCTGTTTGTTCGGGATACCATAGTATTTTTTTTGTTGCAAAATAGTCAGGCTAAATCCCGTTATTGTTGTTTTATGCTACTTCGTTCAGTTAGAACGAAAGCATAACAAGTGGAGAAAGATGTAAATGTTTATAAGTGCGGTTGTAAGATTTAGAAGAAGATTTTCCAAAAGAATTTTAGTTTTATTTAATTCTTTGGTTCCTCTTCTATTGAGCTTACGATCTCGTCATTTGGGTAAAAATGTTTTTTTTTGTCACAGAAGTTATTTCTAAAATAACTTCTGGGGAGAATATCCCAGACAAAAAACAAGGGAACTGGTGAGGATTGGTGGTTCTTTCCGAATTCCCTGCCTTACCCCCTGGTAAACACTACCACCGTTCTCCACTAATAAACAAATGTTGTTTTTGTAAAAACAACAATAAAGGGATTAAGCCTGACCATTTTGCAACTACAAAATTTTACGAAAAGTATAAAATATCTCATATAAGACGATGGAAGTAGTCGATATATTCCAAATCTTACTTATGCCTGATACGAAATTGAATATAATGACCCATCCCCACGGAGCCCCGTCCAACAGTTGAAAATACAAATCGTCATTGAGTAATCCGCATGCTGCACCCGAAAAAGTCCAAACTTGGCCCATTGTTATAAAGCGACGTGTGAAAATGGAAAATATTGAATAAACCCTTCTAACCCTCTCCCATAGTATGTCAAAATGTCCGAAAAGAATAACCATCTTAAGATGAGGTATCATTATCAGATTTTTCACTATTTTTTTTTCTGTGGACTATCACCCTATGTACGTCCCTGCTGCATTATATTTACAACATTAGGTGTAGAGAACGGTACCTCCCGATAATCGTTATTTAAATCCTTCTTCATCCCCTTATTACGATTTTTTTTAAATTGGTATTTGAAGTTTTTATCGATTCTAGATACGTTGGCCGAACGTTAATTATATATTTTCACTTTCACTTCAGTCCCCATTTGAGGTACCTTCGAATTTTCGATAATTTAAGATTTTAGCTACATTTTCTATTGAATTTGTTGGATTTGTTAAAATTCGGTATTTGCAGTTCGTAATGGGTTCTGCCTTCCGTGGCGTTACTTTTCTTCATTGGTCTATATATCTGGGGATTATGCTCCACAACAAATGGTCACACTCTCCATGGGGATTATGTCTATATTCCATACTCACGTCAGAACTTTGCTTAAAAAAAAGAATGGACCGATATCTTCACAGCAGATCTTGTATTAGTAGAAATAATGGTATGTGTAAAATTTGAAGGCAGTTGGATGCTTTTTTCGGATTTTATGATCGTTTTCGTTATTCAAAATTTTTACCCTTTCAGAGGGAGATACCACAAGATTATTCAAAATGTTGACCCTTTTCCTTTCTCGTCGACTATCTCCAACTCTATATACGTTTGATAATATTATTACGATGTTTGGACCAAATCGGATACTCCCCCTTCGAGAGTTATCGTGTGCACCAGCCAGTCAGACAGACGGACGGACGCACATCGCTAGATCGACTCCAAATGTCCTGAAACGGAAGATACGTGGCGTCTTAAACGTTTATTTCGATGAGGCACTTTTGGATGTATCAAATGATATATACCCTCTCTAGCCATATGGCTGAGGGTATAAAAATTAGGGGCATTAACTGCCTTTTGTCGCATACGTATAGAATATACGAGGGCGGTTCGAAAACTTCTAAGCATATCAATGATGGAGAATAGTTAGTTTTTCAAAAATATTTTTATTTTTCAATATAACCTCCTGGTCAAGCAACTTCGTTGATTTTAGCCATTGTTAAAACACTCTTGCGCGTTGTCTTGATGAAAAATTATTTTTTTGTGTTGTAAGCCAGGACGTTTTTCTCGAATTTGTACATTTAATTAATCCAAATAGTTGCAATGGTACTCAGGGATACCCTTTTGCAGATAGTCAATCAATAAAATACCTTTGAAGTCCCAAAAAACCGTTGCCGTAACCTTACCAGCCGATTGAATTGTTTTTTGCCTTCTTTCGGGCACTTCTTCCAGCTTCAGTTCATTGTTTGGATCCAAGTCCCATCAATAGTTATGAAACGACGCTTAAAATCCATTTTAATTCGGTCATATCAATTAACATTTCTCAAAATAAATTAAAATAATAAAGGAACGTTTGAATAAAATTTTTAATAAATTTGAATGCTCGGAAATTTAAATAATTTTATTTTATTATCTATATTATTTAGAGCCGAGCATGATGACAAGGCGGTGCCATTAAGCACTGAAGTTGGAAAGATCTACGGTGAATATTTGATGCTGGAGAAAATCTTAAGTGCGCAATGCATGCTGTCCGAGGTGGACAATCGTCCAGTGCACGATGAGCATTTATTCATCATTACACATCAGGGTAAGATTGAAATAAAATTACAATTTAATGTAAACAAGTGAAAGTGAAAAAAAGTCGTTAGTTCGGCCGGGCTGAACTTTGAATACCCTCCACAATTCGGAACTAATTTGGCAATTTTCAAAAAAGAAAAATAAAATAAAATGTAAAAAAATCGGTGAATAGTGTAGCTAAAATCACCAAAATACCACATATAGGGAGGCCCCCTTATATGGGGGCTATACGAAGGGGTGGACCTGTACCGACAATTTTCTGTCAAAGGCTGTAGTATCCATTACGAACTTCAAATACCAAATTTGAAACATTTCCGGTGAATAATCAAAATGTCAATTATAGGGAGGTGCCGCTATATGGGAGGTATACAGGGTGAGATGAAAAAACTGCAACCTATTTCAGACTGCTGTTATTTCTATCCCACTCGTCCTATAGCTGTTAAAATTATTCCAGTGATAGCTCATTATATTATTTACAAGCGTACAAAAAAAATATTCGCATTTAAATGTGAATAAGTCTCGTGATCAGAAAATATCGCAATATTCCATTCGGCAAATATTGAAAAATGAGCTCGGGGTAAAGCCATTGAAATTCCAAAAAGTGCAAGAACTTACACCGCAACGGAAATAAAATAGACTCAGAAGAGCTAAAGAGTTGCTTCGCTTGGCCAAAAGTGGTGAACTGCCGAATTTGGTTTTCTCCGATGGGAAAACATTTGTTGTCCAGCAGTTCGCCGGCCACAAACAAAATGATCGTGTTTACTTGCCCAAGAGGTCAGCTGAAAATGTGCACCTTCGGTCACCGGCCACCAGAACGCAAGCGCCGGCCATGGTGATGGTGTGGGCCGCCATAACGGCCGATGGTCGCTCTCCGCTCGTATTAATCGACCGTGGCTCAGAATAAATGCCGAATATTATCGCGAAAATATTGCCGCAGACCTTGGACATTTCAACAGGACTCAGCACCATTGCACTCAGCACGCGCCACCCAAAAATGGTAACAAATTTAGGTTCCTCGTTTCATTTCCAGCGCACAATAGCCACCAATACCAATTCATTGGCCTATTGTGTCTGGGCTATTTTGGAAAGCAAGGTTGGCACTAACAAATACCAAACCGTCGATCGCCTCAAGCAAGCGCTTCGCCGGGAATGGGCCGAAATACCGCAGAGCAACATTCGGGCAGCGTGTGACGGTTTCATTGGCCGTTTGAAGGCCATAATTCGTGCCAAAGGTGACGAATTCAAAAAAATCCAAACTTTTTCTAAAATTTGGTGCTATTTCCAAGAGGTTTCGTTCAATAAATTTAAAACAAAAATGAAAAAATTTTGGCGTTTGAATTTGTTGCAGTTTTTTATATCACCCTGAAAAGTACTAAGTGTTTTCGAATTTTTTGTAGAAATAGAGTTGGAAATCTAAAATTTAATATTAAAATTATAATAAAGTAATACAAATTAATAATTGCCATTAGTCGACTCATTCTGGATTTCCACAAAACCATAGATTTTGTCTTCCCCGTCTGACACTATTTTTTTCTTACATCTTTTGTATTTCCAGCCTACGAATTATGGTTTAAGCAAATCATTTTCGAATTGGACTCCATACGTGAAATGTTGAACAGCGAAGTGATTGAAGAAACCAAAACTTTGGAGATTTTGAAACGTCTTAATCGTGTCGTGATGATTTTCAAGGTAAATGGACAAATTTTGAATTTGAATAAAAAATAAAATATATCAAACTCTTCCCCCCAGCTACTTGTCGATCAAGTGCCCATTTTGGAAACCATGACCCCCTTGGACTTTATGGACTTCCGTAACTATTTGGCACCGGCATCGGGTTTCCAGAGTTTACAATTTCGTTTGATTGAAAACAAGTTGGGCGTGAAATCCGAACATCGTGTGAAATATAATCAAAAATATTCGGAGGCTTTTGGCAATAATAGTGAATCGGTAAATGCCATTATTCGATCGGAAACGGAACCATCTCTATTGGAGCTCATTGAAAAATGGTTGGAAAGGACACCAGGTTTGGAGGAGAATGGTTTTAATTTTTGGCATAAATTTCAAGTTAGTGTCGATAAGTTTTTGGCCCAGCAGGAGAAGAGTGCAATGGTGAGTGGGGGGTGTGAAAGGAAGCAAAGATAAAAATAAATATTAAAACATTTGTCTTTTGTTTCCAGAGCGAACCTGTGGAGATTGCCAGAAACTATCGCCTGATGGATATTGAAAAACGTCGTGAAGTCTACCGCAGTATCTTTGATCCAGCTGTCCATGAGGCTCTGGTTTCCCGTGGCGATCGTCGTTTCAGTCACAAAGCCTTGCAGGGAGCTATTATGATAACCTTCTACAGGGATGAGCCACGTTTCAGCCAACCCCATCAATTGTTGACTTTGCTCATGGACATCGATTCGTTGATTACCAAATGGAGATGTAAGTTGAAATGAATATAACATTTTAAAGGAGACAAATTTAAAATTGCTCCGGCTTTTTGCTCTTGTCAGCAATAACTGGAATGTGCAATGGATCGGAGACCCCAATCTAAATTCATAAAATAGTAAAGTATAAGACTTAATAATTCATCAACCCCCAGACAAACCGGCTGAAGCTAGAATCTTGAAATTTTTGTGAGAGACACTCTTGGTTCGAAAAGGGACCAGATAATGCTGAGTTTTTGGTAATTGGTACTAGAATGATAAAAAAAAGTATTGAATGGTACCTTTGTACTTGAGAAAGCAGTAGGATAAAGGTGGTAAATTTAAGGTTGCTTCGATTTCTTGTTCTTGTCAGCAATCATTGGAATATGAAATAGCTCGGAGACCCCAATCTATATTCATAAAAATGTAAGGTATTTGACTGACTGACTAACTCAACGATTCATCAACGCCCAGAACAAACCGGGTGAAGCAAATTTTGGGTGAGGCTCATTCTTAGTCCGACATGGGCCAGATAAAACTGAATTTTTGGAAATTGGTACTAGAACGATACGAAAAGTATTAAATGGTACTAAGTATAGTACCCTTTGTATTTGAGGAAGCAGTAGAGCTGGAACTCTTAAATTTGGAAGGAGGGTCACTGATGGAGTGTATGATAGATGTACCAAAGGGTTTTTGGAAATTCGTAGGAGTTTTTGGAAATTTGCACTATAAGTGTACGAAAAGTACTACATTTCCTACCATTTCGTAACATATGAACGGTTAGAGCTAAAAACTTAAAATTTGGAATGGGAGTAGTTTTGGATTTGTGTACTTATGTATACAAAAATTACTAAACGGTACTAAATTTAGTACAATTTTAATTTCAATTTGGAGGAAGGGATGGAGCTGAAATCCTGAAATTTGAAATTAACATTATTGGTGAAGTGTAGTATTGGGCTATGGGGGAAGTTTTCGAATTTTATACTTATGTGGAAGAAAAGTACTAAATGGTACTAAATTTGGTACAATTTCGTTTTGGGTGAACCAAAAGAACTGGAATTCTGAAATTTAGATTACTGTTGTATTTTAGGACTGTGGAATGTTGGTAGTTTTGGAATTTCGTACTTATGTGTACTAAATTTGGTACAATTTAAATTTTGGGAGCACCATTAGATTTGGAATCTTGAAATTTGGAAATAAGATTACTATTGCATAGGTAGGTAGTTTTGAAAACTCGTACTAATGTGTACTAAATGGTACTAAATTTGGTACAAATTAAATTTTGGGAGAACCGAGAGAGTTGGAATTCTGAAATTTGAAAATAAGATTTCTATTGGAATGTACGATGTAGGTTGTTATGAAAATTTGCGCTTAAGTGCACTAATTGGTACTAAATTTGGTACAATTTGGATTTGGGTGAACCAATAGAGCTGGATTACTTTCGGAGTGTAGGACTGGGTTATGTAGGAAGTTTTGGAAATTCGTATTTATTTGTACTATATTGGTACTAAATTTGGTACAAATTGGAATTGTAATGAACCGATGGAGCTGGAATTTTTAAATTTGGATTGAAAGTCACTGATGTAGTGCAGGATAGATGCACCAAAGTGTTATTGAAAATTCGGACTTAAAGGTTACGAAAACTTCTAAAATGGTATTAAACTTCTTAAATGGTATCATTTGGTATTATGTGAACGGATAGAGCTATAAACTTAAAAATAGGTATGAAAATCAAGGTAGCAAACTATGTTTGATACATGAATGAGATTTTGAAAATGTGTACTAAGTGTGTGATCTGTACAATCCGGTACTAAATTTGGAACATTTAGCTTTAGAGTGAATGGATGCATCTGGAACTTTGAAAGTTTGTACTGTTGATAGATTTGTGATAAAGAGGTGGTCTTGGGAAATGTGTACTACAAGTACACGAAAAGTACTAAATAGTACTATATTTGGTGGAATTTGGTATTGACCTCGACATTTGGAGCTGGTTTCGGAAATGTGTACTATAATTGTACGAAGAGCACTAAATAGTACAAAATTTGGTTTTAAGTGAAAGTGGAAGAATTGATTAAAAATTCCTGGAATCCTCTAATTTGATGTTTAGATTACAAATGGTATCTGTGTTTGAGATTTTCCTGCTATTTCTAAATACGTCCTATGTTTGCATGAAAAGTACTAAATGGTACAAAATTTGGTACTGGGTGAAGGAATAGAGATGCAATCCCGACATTTGATATTGAGGACTCTGCTGGTATTTGGGTTAAAGATATAGAGGTGTTTGGGGAAATTTGTACTAAAAGTGTCTGCAAAGTACTAAATAGTACTAAATTTAATAAAATTTAGTATTCGGTGAGTAGATAGTGCTTGAAATCCGAAATTTGGTATTTAGGTCGCTGTTCATGTCAAGTCCTGACATATAGAGGTGGTTTTGGAAATGTGTGCCACAATTGTACGAAAAGTACCGAATGGTACGGCAATTAGTATTGGATGAAGGGATAGAGATAAAATTCTGACGTTTGATATTAAGATTACTGTTGGTATCTGGAATTGAGATTTGGTGGTGGTTTGGAAATGTCTTCTATATTTGTACGAAAAGTGTTAAATAGTACTATGTTTGGTACAATTTGGTATTGAGCGAACAGATAGTGCTTGAAATCTGAAGTTTGGTATTAGGGTCGCATCTCATGTGTAGCCTGGACATTTGAAGGTGGTTTCGGTAATTTGTAGTATAATTGTGCGAAAAAGGCTAATTGGTTCTAAATTTGGTTTTGGGTGAAGGGATAGAGAAAAAATTCTGAATTTTTATATTTCGATTACTGATAGTATCTGCATTTGAGATTTGGAGGTGAGTCTGGAAATGTGTGCTATTATTGTACTAAATGGTACTAAATTTAATATTGGGTGAAGGTATAGGGCTGGAATTCCTGAATTCAATATTGAGGCATCTGTTGGAATATGCAATTGAGATATGGGGGTGGTTTTGGATATGAGTACTGTAATTGTACTAAGTGGTACTAAATTTTGGTAATGGGTGAAGAAGTAGAGCTGGAATCCTGAAATTTTATATGGATGTCACTGTTGGTAGCTTTGGTTAAGATATTGAGGTGGTTTTGGAAATGTATACTACAATTGTTCAGAAAGTACTTAATGGTACTAAATTTTGTATTGTGTGCAGGGAAAGATATGGAATCCTCCAAGTTGATATTGTGGGCTCTGTTTGTATCTGAGGTTGAAATTTGGAGGTGTGTTTGCTTACTATAGTTGTTCGAAAAGTATAAAATGGTAATACATTTTTTATTGGGTGAAGGGAAAGAATTCTCAAATTTGATATTTAGGGCTCTGTTTGTATCTGGAATTAAGATATGGAGATTGTTTTGAAAATGCGTACTTGACCTGTACTAAAAGAATAAAAAATTGGAAAAGGACAAAGAGAGAGATTATTGTTTGTGTCTGTAGTTGAGAAGAGGAGCTGGTTATGGAAATTCGCACTGTGAACTTAAGAAAACTTCAAAATGCTACGAAATGTGGTGTTGGGTATTGGGATAGAGATGGAATTCAGAAAATTTGGCATCGAGGTTATTGTCTGTACCAAGGGTTGGAGTTGGTTTGGGACATGCATGAATGAATGAATGAAACTAACGAATTTAAAATTTTGTTTGTGGTCATTTCGCTGACAAGGTACCGGGCACTTGCTAGTTAGTAAAGATCCGAAGCAAACACTGAGACTGTCTGTGAAACTAAAATAGAGTCTACATTACGAGTATTTAATATATGGCTTTAGGGATTTCACATCATTTTGGATTATGTCCGAAATGATTTGTATTGAAACTGGACTTTATCGACTCAAGTTTATATCGAGCAACCATATAACAATCCTTATAATTTTACATAAATTATAATTTTACATAAAAAAACTTTGAACACAACTTACAACTAAATGAAATTTAAAAATATTCTCTCTTATTGCATAAAAGGTTCAATATACCGGAAAAAAACTAGATTTTCTAGAAAAAAATATACCAAAATATCTGAAAAGTAACAAATTTGGAAGAAGGCCTGGGCCATCCTGCATTTACTCCTTTCTTTTGTGTTTATTCCTGAAAATGACATAATAAAAAAATAAAACCTATATTTTTTAATTTTCTTTTGCAGATAATCACGTTATTATGGTACAACGCATGATTGGCTCCCAGCAATTGGGTACTGGCGGCTCTTCCGGTTATCAATACTTGAGATCAACCCTAAGGTATAATACTAAATTATTATTTTCCTAAAATAAGTTAAAATAAAATTGACTTTTAATTTCAGTGATCGCTACAAGGTATTTTTGGATTTATTCAACCTATCCACATTCTTGATACCACGTGAGGCCATACCACCATTGGATGCATCAATGCGAAAGGAATTAATTAATTAACATTTTTTTATAAAAAATCCAAAATTAATAAAATTGTTTATAGAAATAAAATTAAATAAAAAAAAATAATTATTTTGATTTGCCTCCTGTGAGGATTGAACTCACGACCCCTGGTTTACAAGACCAGTGCTCTGCCACTGAGCTAAAGAGGCTCATGCTGTGGTGAGTTTACAGTTTTCATAAGTATCACACACACACGTACCCAATGGGACCGCCAATGTTAGTAATTGATCTACACCTCACCATAGTTTTGTTTGTTTTAAAAATAGATTCATTTGACAATACCATACCACACCAAGAACAACTAACAACATTACAGGTGTTGTGGGCATTATTGTTGTTGTTCCTATTGCTATTGTTGTTACATAGTTATTTCAATGTTATTCTTTATCAATTATTTGAAGAACTATTATTGTAAAGTTGGTTATTAGATTGAGTAGTTTTCATATGATGAATAAATGTGAAGAATTTTAAAAATTACAATCAATGACAAGAAGGAAGCTCGAATCCCCTAAATTTTAAATGGTAAAGTGAATTTTTGCGTAGTTGACCCTAACCTATAGTAGTTTCGAAAGACCTAAGAAATTTCTTTCGAAAAACTTTGGGGGTAGTTTCTCCAATTGATGGGTATACGTTATAATGTAAATATTTGGAACATAGAAGAGAAATGTAAATGTCTTTTAAGGCTCTTCCATTCCTCACAAGACTTCAAACATGCCTTCCATTCACAGAAGGTTTCCAAAAGTCTTCCCCTGTATTGAATACCTAAAAAAAGTATTTTCGCAACTGTTATTTCCCTAGAAGATTTCAAAAATATCTTCCCTTTAGAGAAGAACTGAAAAATTTATTTTTTCCATAAAGAAATCATTCCTCCATAGGATTTCTTGAAAATGTTTTCTCCCTTTAAAGGATCCCCTCTACTTAGAGACCTCAAAACCTGCCTCTATAGAAGAACTGAAAAAGTTATTTTTTCCATAAAAGAAATTAAAAATAAAAATATTTTCTTAATAGGAATTCTCGAAAACGTCTTCACCCTATAGAGGGCCTCTAAAGATTACCCTCTATTTAGAAAAACTCAAAATGGTCGTCTCTTCATTGAACACTTCAAAAGGGATTATTCTCCATATAAGACTCCAAAAAATTCTTATCACCATAGTTGATATTGAAAAGTTCTCAATGGGGTTTTTCTTCCCAGAGAAGCTCAAGTCCTTCTTTTCGCAGAAGACCTTTAAATGGTATCCTTTTTATAGAAGGTTTCATAAAGGAAACCTTAAAATCCTCTGCCAATAGAAGACTCCAAAATATCTTCGCTTCATAGAACTCCATAAAAACTCTTCCCTCTAGAAGACCTTTGAAAAGTCACCTTCAATAAAAGGCCATAAAAGACATAAAAGAGGTATCCTTCTCGCACAAGATCTCAAAACAGCCTTATCTTCACAGAAGACGCCGAAACATTCTTCCCTTCACAGAAAACATCCAGGCTTTCTCTCAGAAGAAGAAGAATGGCGTCCTCTTCATAGAATACCTCAAGACCTAACGCCTAAGGGTTCTCTCCATGCTTAACCTAAACTTTCTGTTTCTGTTTTTAGACAATCCTAAAAAGTCTTCACTCTACAGGGTGAGACGAAAAAACTGCAACTAACTGCAGACTGCTGTCATTTCTAAGCCACTCATCCGACAGCTGTTAAAATTATTCCAGTGACAGCTCATTATATTGTTTACATGCGTGCAAAAGCATTTTGGTAAGAATTTTTCGAGAAAAAAGGTTGTTCGGAATTCAAGCGTGATAGTGTATCTAGCTGGAAAACCACAAGTGGCTATCGTTAGAGCCATCCAGCATTTAAATGTGAATAAATCTTTTGTGTCTCGTACCGTGATACTGGTAGCGTAGCCCAACGTCAAGGAATTGAACGGAAACAAACAGCAACATCAGCAGAAATGGTTCGAAAAGTAAAGAAGTGACTTGATCAAAACCCGCGTTGCAGTGACCGAAAAATGGCTCGTGAGCTGAACATATTGCAATATTCCATTCGGCAAATATTGAAAAATGAGCTCGGGGTAAAGCCATTGACATTTCAACAAGTGCAAAAACTTACACCGCAACGGAAAGAAAATAGACTCAAAAGAGCTAAAGAGTTGCTTCCCTTGGCCGAAAGTGGTGAACTGCCGAATTTTGTTTTCTCCAATAAGAAAACTTTCGTTGTCCAGGAGTTTGTAAACAAACAAAATGATCGTGTTTACTTGCCAAAGAGGTCGGCTGAAAATGTGCACATTCTATTTGCCACCAGAACTCAAGCGCCGGCCATGGTGATGGTGTGGGTCGCCATAACAGCCGATGATCGCTCTCCGCTCGTATGAATCGACTGTGACATCAGAATAAATGCCGAATATTATAGCGAAAATATTCTGGAGGGTGTATTGAAGTCTTGGGCACGCAGACCTTGGACATTCCAACAGGACTCAGCACCATCGCACTCAACACGCTCCACCCAAAAATAGTTACAAAATGAAGTTCCTCGCTTCATTTCCAGCGCACCATTTCCAGCTACCAAAATCTCCGGATACCAATCCGTTGGACTATTGTGTCTGGAGTATTTTGGAAGGCAAGGTTGGCACTAAAAAAATACCAAAGTGTCGATCTCCTCAAGCAAGCGCTTCGCCGGGAATGTGCCAAAATACCGCAGAGCAGCATTTGGTCAGTGTGTGACGGTTTTATTGGTCATTTGAAGGCCATAATTCGTGCCAAATGCGACCAATTCGAACAAATCTAAACTTATTCTAAAATTTGATGCTATTTCCGACATTTTTTGGTTTCGTTCAATAAAATTAAAAAAAAAAAATGTAAAAATCATGGCGTTCGACTTTGTTGCATTTTTTTATCTCATCCTGCATACAAGGCCTTTTCAGAGTCTTCTCTGCAGAACTCACAATGGAGCGTTTTCGGAAAATATTAAAAGGGTGACTGCCTATGTAATTCCTCCGTCCTGACCAACATAGGTCATGTGTCGAAAGAAGTCCCTAAAAGAGCTTCCATTCATTGAAGAAATGTAAAAGGCAGACACATTTTTCGTTTCCTTAAGAAACTGTGTGACAGATTTAAATTTTTTCATAATTACCGAAAAATCCCAATGAATTATAAGAGATGAATTAAAAATATAAGACAAGTGTATCGGTATTTTTAAAATTGCATTGCAATGTAACCTCAATGGAGGGGAAAAGCTCCTCCTTCTTCCAATTTTCTGTTTAAGATTTCCTGAAATCGCTAAACTTTAGGTATATAGTGCCTCTGAAAATATTACCGAAAGTAATACCAATGAGCGACCTACAATAGAATATTATGAAAAATATTTTGTAGGATATTTTGACTTGACCTCTTGAAAGGGAGCTATTTAATAATTTTTTTTTTGGAAAAAAGTACTAAAAAGCACATAAAAAGTGTTAAAATTTAGAAATTGGTAAAATCGGACCTAAATATATATGGCATAAATATTGTGACGTGCCAGGTTTGGACTATATTGGTTACTTCCCTTACTTTATGTAAGATATGTGATAATTTTTAATTGGACCGATATATCCCATCTTCACAGCAGATTTTGTGTTAGTAGAAATAATGGAATGTGTGAAATATGAAGAGAACCGGATGTTTATTTCGGATTTTATAATCGTTTTGATTATTCAAAATTTTGATACTTTGGGTGGGGGGGAGGTACCAGAAGTAATGATCCGATCTCTACTATCTTCATAACAGATCTTGTGTTGATAGAAATATTGTAATCTGTGTAAATTGGAAATCGGAGTCTTACATCAAATTTTATAACGGTTAAAATTATTCAAAACTTTGACCCTTTGTGAGGGAGGTACTTTATTGAGTGGACCGATATTGTCCATTTTGGCACCCGATTAGGATTTGCAAAGTTAGAGCAAAATCGGATTATCGTTTCTATTTCTGAGCAAAAAATATATTTTTTTGAAAATGTCGACCTTTTGTGGGGGAGGTACCAAAAGGAGTGGACCGATATTATCCAGCTTAACACCAGACCGTAGGTTAATATAAATATTGGGATATGTGGAATTTTAAGACAATCGGAGTCTTACATCACATGTTTTGAGAGTTCTTATTATTTAAAATTTTGGACCTTTTGTGAGGGAGGTACCAGAAGGAGTGGATCGATATTGCCCTTCTCCCAACTCGATCTAAGTTTGATAATAATATTACGATGTACCAAGTTTGGACAAAATCGCATACTCCGTTCGAGAGTTATCGTGTACCAGACAGACAGGCGGACGGGCATCGTTACTTCGTCTTCAAATGTGGTAAAACAGATTTGGTCCAAAGAGATGAGGCACGTTTTGGCCGTATCAAATGATATACATATATATCCTCTCTAGCCATATGGCTGAGGGTATAATAATAATTTTGACTTGACTTAAATTAAATTTAATCTTGACTTGACCCCGAAATTGTTAAACATTTTTTGAAAATAGGACCAGAAAGACTCCTTTGTTGACTCGCATGAGAATTTGAATTGTCAACCAATATAATCCTTCTATTGCTATAGGGAATATGAAAAATATCAAAATTTCACAAAATGTGGAAGATTTGAGGTTATTTACCATATTACTGCTCGATGTAAACTTTCAAAACCCTGCTACACCTGTCTTCTATGTTTAGCTTTGCTTGCATATCTACTAAGATTTTCCGGTAATTAAAAATTCATTAATTTTTTCATAACCTTTCAAATTATACGTATAAGTACCTGTGAAACGTATACGCCACGTTAACGTTCATTCATTCGTACATCTCTAACATTTGAGAAAAGCTCTTTCTTTCAACCACAACAAAAAGCTTTGCTTCTTAACAGCTATTGCTGTAAACCCACACACGTGAAATCAGCGAACCAACCAACCAAACACAACTTAAACGTCAAACATCCAACATGTTACGGTGCAGTAACAACCTCTAGCGGCAATGATGCGGATATTGTTGGCGATTGGGGCAACATGTAAATGATGCTCTGGAAATGTGTGCTCCGAGATGTATGGAAATAAAGAAGGGAAAGAAAGTAAAAAACAAAAACAGAGCACAAAAACACATGGTGAGCACCTCATCGGTTGACACACATACAAGCTGAGTAAGAGAATGGAGGTTGCCATTGGGGATTGAATAGTAATACTAAAAGGTTGATTCAGAAGCGACCAAAAATGAAATATAGTCTAATAAACTGAACGCAGCTTACAAAACTTTATTAATGGAGAAAAATTCTTGAAAACTTTTCCAGTTTTTTCTTGCCTAGAATTGAAAAAATTAATAATTTTCTGGTTAGTTTTATTTCGCGTTTTGAAGACCAGAATTGACCGTCTTAATCGTGCGATTTAACACCCTGAGATTTTTTACTTTGGGTATAAGAATCAAGGTTGGAAAGTCAGTTGGATATATGAAGGTAGTTTATGGCTATAATTTTCGTATAGGCTGAACGGATGAAGCTGGAATTTTGAAATTTGGGGTGCCTCTGGATGGTAGGTTTGTGATAAAGAGGTGGTTTGGGAATTGTGTAATACAAGTGAATTGAAAATACTAAATAGTACTATATTTCGTACAATTTGGTATTTCGTGAACTGATAATGCTTCAAATCTGAAATCTTGTTTAGGGTCGCTTGTCATGTGTAGCTTGGACACATGGAAGTGGCTTCGGAAATGTTACTATAATTGTACGAAAAGTACTGTACAGGGTGAAATAAAAAAACTGCAGCCAACTTCAGACTGCTGTCATTTCTAAGCCATTCGTCCGACAGCTGTTGAAATTATTCCAGTGACAGTTCATTATATTGTTTAGAAGCGTACAAAAGCATTTTGGTGAGAATTTTCCAGAAAAAAAATTATTTGCGATTGAATTTAAGCGTGATAGTGTGATTTCTTTATATTTGGCTGGAAAACCACATGTGGCTCTCGTTAGAGAACTCCAGCATTTACATGTAAATAAATCTTTTGTGTCTCGTACCATCGCTCATTACCGTAATATTGGTAGCGTAGCCCGACGTCAAGGAAGTGGACGGAAGAAAACAGCAACATCAGCGGAAATGGTTCGAAAAATAAGGAAGCGACTCGATCGAAACCCGCGTCGCAGTGGCCGAAAAATGGCCCGTGAGTTGAACATATCGCAATATTCCATTCGGCAAACATTGAAAAATGAGTTCGGGGTAAAGCCATTGAAATTCCAAAAAGTGCAAGAACTTACACCGCAACAGAAAGAAAATAGACTAAAAAGAGCTAAAGAGTTGATTCGCTTGACCGAAAGTGTTGAACTGCCGAATTTGGTTTTCTCCGCTGAGAGAACATTCGTAGTCCAGATCAAAAACAAACAAACAAAATGATCGTGTTAACTTGCCAAAGAGGTCAGCTGAAAACGTGCACCTTCGGTTGGCCACCAAAACTCAAGCGCCGCCCATAGTGATGGTGTGGGCCGCCATAACAGCCGATGGTCGCTCTCCACTCGTATTAATCGACAGTGGCATGAGAATAAATGCCGAATATTATCGCGAAAATATTCTGAATGGTGTATTAAGTCTTGGGCACGCAAACATTTTGGCCGCAGACCTTGAATATTCCAACAGGACTCAGTACCATCGCACTCAGCACGCGTTACCCAAGAATGGTTACAAAATGAGGTTCCTCGCTTAATTTCTAGCGCACAATAGCCACTAAAATCTCCGGATACCAATCCGTTGGACTATTTTATCTGGAGTAGTTTGGAAAGCAAGGTTGGCACTAAAATACCAAAATATCGATCACCTCAAGCTAGCGCTTCGCCGGGAATGGGCCAAAATACCGCAGATCAACATTCGGGCAGTGTGTGACGGTTTCATTGGCCGTTTGAAGGCCATAATTCGGGCCAAAGGTGACCAATTCGATCAAATCTAAACTTATTCTAAAATTTGATGCTATTTTCGAAATTTTTTGCTTTTATTCAATTAAAAAAAAAATGTGAAAATTATGCCGTTCGACTTTGTTGCAGTTTTTTTAGCTCACCTTGTATTTGTGTTCTGATTGTGGAGAAGTATTTATTTATTTATTTTTTTTTTTTTTGGAAGTCCCTTATTTTTGAGCCGAACACCCGAGATACCGACTTTTACTTTTAAGTTATACATAAAATGTCTACATGGTTTAGTAAATCGCTATTACGATGGAGCACATTTTTGAACGTATCGAGTATATGCTCTCTTTAAACTCACGGTATAATAACGCTGTGTCCTCTTATAGGCAACTGTACCAAACCATGGCTGGCATATCTCTTTTTCATAGTAACCCTGCTGATAAAAGACACAATTATTTATGCATAGACCCGTTATTATTCGTTTTCTTTTTTTTCTCGCAGGAGTATCCCGCTCGAATTTGAGTGAATTTTATGAGATACTCAAATTCGAGCGGCAATTCCAGAGCTCTGCATAGAATACACTAAACACTTTATTAAAGTAACTTGTTCTAGCACAACAACTTAAATATATAATATTGTAGAAAACCTCCATTCAATCCGTTCTAAATTGCTACAATCTTTTTTTGGTCGAAATTTTCCAAAACGGCAACACCGAATAGAAATGCTTTCCGCATCAAGCCATAACAAACAATAAAAAACGCAAGAGTAGCTGAGAAAAACACGCACATTGCCATGCGAGAGAGAGAGAGAAGAGTAAATAATAAATAATAGAAATCGAAATCAAAATGAGAGCTTCAACTAAAGTGGGATAACTGAAAAGCTGGATGGATGGATGGATGGTAGGCAGAGAATCAAAAACAAAAACAACAATAACAACAACGACAACACCACAACGAAAAATTGTTTCACTATGGACACGGACGGAGAGCTCATTAAAACCTTAGAACACGTCTGGCACGGACGTCAGTTGCAATTGAAAATTTAACCAGATAACTTTGGTCGTTTAGTCGGGTCAACGTTGCTGTCATTATTTGTTACTGCTGTTATTATTGTTGTTGTTATTAAAACTGTCAAATTAAATACTAAAAAAAAAAGAAACGATTGAAGTTATCCTTTGTAAAAGGAATCTAAAAAAGATACAAAAAATACCCCCAGTGCCATAACCAAAAAAAAAAAGAAAACACAGGACATACTTCAAAGGTTTTCAAAACAAAACAATAAAAATTCTGTGCTGTCCAAGTGTCCTGTCCTAATCTGTCCTCTCATCTAATGAATGCCTGAAAATAATTACAAAACTCAAATCGCAAATTAAGAGCAGATCCTGGAAATAAAAGTGCATTTTTTTTCGTCCTCCTGTTAGTTACGACGAATGTAAATCCACGAAGTTTTACCATTTATGAAACAAAAAACACAGAGAAAAAAAGCGAAAGCAAAAGGAAAAACAAATAGAAGTGCGTTAACACAATTTGACACAGATTCTGTTGTGATTTATTTCTTCCTACATTTTTTGGTTTGAAGTAAGTTTTCCAAGTGAAGTTGGAGAGAAGAAAATTTCCCTAGATTTTCACCAAAAAAAAAAAAAAAAAAAAAAACATCTCGGCCAAATGTTGTGCACGTGTAAAGTGAAAGAAAGAAAAATAACCTTGAAAAATAGTACATTAAAGAAGGATAATAATAAAAAAAAAGAAAAAAAGAAAAGAAAACATCGACAAGACAGGAAACGTTAAATTTACAATTTAAGACCAACGCTATCTGGTGATGATGTTGGAGGTGGTGGCACCACCAGCTCAACAACAACAACACCTCATGTCGTTGACAAACAAACCAAAAAAAATACAATTTTTAAAAGAAAATAAAAAATAATGATGGAAAACAAAATCCCCAGAAAACAATGTGTGAATAAACAATGCCTTCCCTCCACCACCCCACCACCCCTTCGCCCGTTCAGCTGTATTATTTAATACGGCGTCGACACCTTCTATAGTTGTTGCTGTTGTCTGTTGTTTAATTCGCAAATAATTTTCCTTCTTTCGTTTGACTTTCTTGCCGAGCCATGACTTTGAGAGCATCAAAAGACATTTTCATAACAACTTTGGTTCTACCAAAGTGAGGGCCAAAAAGGAATAGCTATAGTATGTTGTTGTCGTTGCTGCTTTGGGTAGTTATGTTCGAAAATTATCTTTGCAGCCTTTTCTGAAATGATATGTATAATTTCAAGTCTTCTTTGTTGTTGTTGTTGTGCACTCATGTTGCAGCGGCATGTTGTTATAGAATAGAGTTTTAGGTATTTTTTGCGGAATTTAAAGTATTTCCTGGTTATCGTTTCAAGGTCATGCCATATTAATAAGGATTTGAGAACAGTTTTTCTCTCTAAAATTACATTCTAGTACCCCAGGAACCACCTAAAAGCCATATCGGTTGAAAAATGTGGCCAAACCTCTTGCAATAACTTAAGTCAGGCGTATCTTTACCACTGTGCCATAAATTGAACCTATATTGCTAATTTTTTATACCCTCCACCATACTATGGAGGGTATATTAGTTTTGTCATTCCGTTTGTAACTCCTCGAAATACTCATGTCAGACCCAACAAAGTATATATATTCTTGATCAGCGTAAAAGACGATTTAGCAATGTCCGTCTGTCTGTCTGTCCGTCTGTCTGTCTGTTGTAATCACGCTATCTTTCGAACAAATTGAAATAGAAGGCTAAAATTTTACACACATGTATATTTTGCCAGTAGGCAGGTTAAGTTCGTAAATGGGCCATGTAGGCCCAAGTTATCATATAGCCCCCATATAACGGTACCTCCCGATATTCGGTATTTTGATGATTTTAGCGACATTATTCACCGGAATTGTTTCAAATTTGACATTTGAAGTCCGTAATGGATACTACAGCCTAAGACAGAAAATAATCTGTGTAGGTCCACGTCTTCGTATAGCCCCTATATAACGGTACCCCCCGATATTCGGTATTTTTGATGATTTAGGCGACATTATTTACCGGAATCGTTTCAAAGTTGGCATTTGAAGTTCGTAATATATGCTGTAGCATAAAACAGAAAATGGGCCACGAAGACGTGGACCTACGTCTTCGTATAGCCCCGATACCGTACCCCCCGATATTCAGTATTTTTATGATTTTAGCGACATTATTTAGCGGAATCGTTTCAAAGTTGGCATTTGAAGTTCAAAATAGATGCTGCAGCATAAAACAGAAAATGGGCCATGTAGGTCCACGTCTTCGTATAACCTCCATTTACCGTACCCCCCGATATTCGGTATTTTGATGATTTTAGCGAAATTATTTACCGGGATTGTTTCAAATTTCGCATGTGAAGTTCGTAATGGATACTTCAGCCAATGTCAGAAAATTGTCTGTGCAGGTCCACGTCATCGTATAGCCCCCATATAACGGTACCCCCTATATTCGGTGTTTTGATGATTTTAGCTACATTATAAACAGATTTTTCTTCAAGTTTCGCAATTAAATATTGTAAAAACTTATGACAAAAGTTGCCTATGCAGGTCCAGGTCGTCGTATAGGCATTCGGTATTTTTAAGATTTTAACAGAATTTTTAACGGATTTTATTTTATTTTTTTTTTTTTTTTGGAAATTGTCAAATTTGTACCAAATGGTGGAGGGTATTAAAAGTTCGGCCCGGCCTAACTTACAACTTTTTTACTTGTTTTTGCTTGTACCGTTCCTACATAAGGACTCAAAATATCAAAATTTGCCAACATTGAAAATATGAATAAAACATAAGAAATGCTAGAAATCGGGGTTTATCCTTACATAGAGGTCACACCGAAAAGTGGACCAAAGTGGCACATTTTTTTAAATTAATTATTATTGAAATAACGCAATGACCTCTATATAAGTTTTTTTTGCGGAATTTAAAGTATTTATTGGTTATCGTTTCAAGGTCGTGCCATATTAATAAGGCGATATTTATAAAAACAAGTTAGCAAGTTTCAGTCGGTGTTCCGACAGATGTAAATCATTAGAATTTGATCACTTTCCTTGATACTTACTTTTTGGGGAAAAATGGAAAAGGGAAAAAATATTCTAGATCAATATTTTTTCAGTTATTGCAAAAAAGTTCCCCAGGAACCAGCTTAAAGCCATATCGGTTGAAAAATATGGCAAAGCTTCTTGCAATAATTTAAATCAGGGGGTATCTCTACCGCTGTACCATAAATTCAACTTATATTGATAATTTTTTGCTTGTAGCGTTTCTACATAAGTACCCAAAATATCAAAATTTGGCAATATTGAAAATATGATTAAAACCTAAGAAATGACAGAAATCGGGGTTAACCCTATATAGAGGCCATACCAAAAGTGGACCGAAATGACAAATTTTAAAAAATTTTTCAAAGCTCTATATAAAATGTTGCTAAATATATATTAAAATATAGGTTACCTTTGTAAATAGTCAAGGCTATAGAATGGCTTTGGGACAAGAATCCGAAAAACTTTTGGAGCACTATTAAATCCTTGGAACTTCCCATAACCCCGGCTGGCATTTGGCCGATTTCGTTTTTGAAATAATGCCATACAGTCACTCAAAATATTGCCTTTGACTTTTGCCCTATATCTATGACCTCTTTCGTTCTAATCAGCATTCCGATAGCCATTAAAAATGGTAGGCTTCTGTCCTGTCCTAAACTCTAATCTCATGCAAAATTCCATGTCTATTGGTCTTTAGTTGGGACCTGTAGTGCAACTGTAAAATTTGATACATTTTGAGTTTTTGGTGCATTTTAACCCCTAAATATTTTGGGAACCACTTCAAAAACAACAGCCTTCTATAATGACCCTAACCTTGATTCCATGCTAAATTTCATGTGGATCGGACGATAATAGTATTGTAGGGTGTAAAAATGTTTCAAGTCAAATGGAAATGAAAAAATATAAAAATATAAGAAAGTCTTAAAGTCGAGCGGGGCCGATTTTATGATAACCTACTCCACTTTGCTAATTTGGTAGAGCTCCGCATAGCAATTAAAAGTTTTTATGGGAGAATTCAATCATACACCCTATGATTATAATTATAATTTAAAGTTCAAAGGACTAAATATGCCGAAGCATTTGTATCTTTTAAATTTGGACTTGTATTGCCCATTTGGTGCACAATTAATTTGAAATCGGACGAAGTTATATATGGGAGCTATATCCAAATCTAAACCGATCTCGTTAAAATTTAGCAAATGTATTTCTGAGCTGTATTTGACATATTTCCCTGAATATCGTTCTTACGGAGTGCATATTACGGCTGTGGATAACATATATAATAAATCGGATGAATAGTATATATGGGAGCTATAGCTATATCTGAACCGATCTTCATCAAATTTGACATACTAGCTTCTAGACTCAATTCGGTCGTAAGTGCCAAATTCTATCCCACTTGGGCAAATATTAGACATTTGGTGCACAATAAAAAGTAAATCGGACGAAGTTATATATGGGAGCTATATCCTAATCTAAACCGATCTCGATAAAATTTAGCATATGTATTTCTGAGCTGTTTTTGATATATTTCCCCAAATATTGTTGTTACAGAGTGCATATTACGGCTGCGGAGGACTAAAATAACGATTCGGATGAACAATATATATTGGAGCTCTAGCTATATCTGAACCGATTTCGATCAAATTTGGCATGCTTATTTTCAGGCCTAATTTGGTTGTATGTGCAAAATTCCATACCATTCGGGCTGATATTACACGTTTGGTGCACAATAAAAGGCAAATCGAACGAAGATATATGACAGCTATATCTACATTTTAGCCGATTATCTCCAATTTCAATAGGGTTCGTCCTTGGGCCAAATAAATGATTTGTGCAAAATTTCCTCTAGATAGGACAATAAATGCGAACCGTATTTTGTTTACAAAAATACATGGACAGACGGACGGACATGCATAAATCGACTCAGAATGTGATTCTATGCAGATCATCAAAAGGAACTATGGGTCTATCTCGTTTCCTTTTGCCCGTTACAAAAATATGCACAATGAAATAATATCCTGACCACCTTGTGGTGTTGGGTATAAAAAGCAAAAAGTACCAGAAATCAGGATTTATCGTATATATGTAGAGGCCATACCAAAAAGTACACGAGAGGACAAATTTTTTAAATAAATTATACTTGAAGTAACCCAACGTAAGCTGTATAGTTTTCAAAGCTCTATGTAAAATGTTGCTAAATATATATTAAAATATATGGTCCTTTTGTAAAAAGTCAAGGCTTAAAAATTAGGCTTAGGAATCTGAAGCTACAAACCGAGTAATATTAAATCCATTTGGAATTTCCCATAAAGCTGGCTGGCATTGTGTCGGCTTTCATTCTAATCAGCATTCTAAATAATTTCACACAAAACTTGTGGGTCATTTTATTCGCAAAATATAATCCGATGACCATTAAAAATTGTAGAAAATACATTTTGTCGTTTTTCAAGAATTTCACTTGATTATTCCGGAATTTTTCGATCTCATCACGTACTC